CTATCAATATAATAAATATCTTATTAAACAAGAAATAATAATAGGTATTGCCAAACCTCTCTAAATAGATACACGCTCATTATAAAATATAATTAAATAAAATCCAATTAAAAACTTTCAAACTTTCAATTACAGTTATTCATTTTAAGAATTTTTATTGAGTTAATCAAAATTTAATTTATGTGCAAAATTAATGCTACTCCCAGTTTAGTATATGAGTAATGTCAAAGTAAAGCCTGGAACTGAACTTAGAAATTTACAATAGTCAGTTATTGGTTTTGATTTTCCGATACTCATGGTTCCAATATGGTCAATTAGAGATGTTTGGCATTGTAGTGTAATTGAATTTAATACTTACAAGCTGATAGATGACACATATATAATTAATTAAATAATAATCGTTAATGACTAATTTAATAAATACTATAAATGGCTTTATACTTACGCCCTTTTAATTTAATATATATAAATCATTAAAACAGCTTTTTAAAAAGTGACTATAGATAATGCGTAACTTATATTTCCGGGATTTACGTGATTAAATGGACTGCCGTCAATAGAAAACAGGTAGATTGACATTTTTTTAAAAACAAATTAATACCTTAACTTTAACAGCTCATATATAGACGAATTGTAAGACATTTTAATAATTTAATAACCAAAAGAAAGCTTGAGTTTAATCTTTCTTTAACTCTTGAATCATTAAAATAGCTTTAAACTCAAGATATAAAAGTTAAGGTATTAACCTTTTTTAAAATGTCAATCTACTGACAGTGCTTATCGTTATGAACAGTGTAAATTCACGTTCTACTGCTATCCTAACCTCACCAACCAATCATATGTCGTCAAGTAGGAGATGGCAAACTTCTTCACGATGTTGTTAATCGCGAAAATTATAGATGCAGACTTATTTACGTTATATATATGTAGCTAAGTGATGTCATAAGTTCGCATATATCGCAAACATCTACCTTTAATTGCTAACACATAATTATTTACATTTATTCAGCATCACAAAATCCCATCGTAACGTGACAGTCATCAAATTAAACATCAGGATCATGCCACATTACATTAGATCGGGATTTTTTTACGGTCAATCCTGGAGATGCTGGAATAGTTGGGTTGTTGCTCACTTTCCCGAAGCTCATTTTTCTGACATACCACTTCTCCGAAGTCGTAATACCAACAATCTTTTTTACTAACAGAACAGAAATAGGTCAGTGACATTTCACCGAATATCAATTAACTGACAAATTTATTTCACTGACAGTTTATTTAACCGACAGTCATTTCATCGACAAAGTAATTCTGGTCATCGTCGTTAGGGTCAGGTATAGAATTAAAATTAAGGTTAGTGCAATTTTTAAAAAAATTTGTCGATGAAATGATCTGTCAGTGAATAATTGCCAATGAAGTAAACTTATCGGTTAATTGATTTTTGGTGAAATGACGTAGACCTATTATAGTCTTTCTAGTAAAATGGATTTTCGGTATTACGGTTCCGGTGAAATGGTATTTCAGAAAAATGCATCTCGAGAAGTTAAACCGGAACCGAATAGTTGTTGTAAAATGCCCCGTTTCGTTACAAAATTAAACTTTTACTTACCGCCTAATAGTTTACAATTTAATAATCATATTATTAGTTAATGGTTATATGCTATTATCGATTTAAAAGAGCTCTATACTAAGGATTGGAACCGTTTAACCGTTTAAAAAATCGGTCAATAGTTCTGGGCCAGAATTATTTTAATACTGACTGAATTAAACACTTAAATGGTTAAACGCTTAGAAACAATTTATATGGTTCCAATCACTACTCTATACTTACTCGCTTGTGAATAATACAAATTCAATTGAATAAGAATAAGCCATCATAAACTTTATAAGGTATTGCAGTATCAAATATAAATAAGCGTTATGCTTACTCTCTAATCATTTGATACGCGCATAATTAATAATAAATGTTAAGTATTTGAATTTTTTTTAAAAAAACGAACCAAAATACTCACTCTCTAGTAATTGTGTATTGATATAAGTATTGTTAATATAATTAAAAAATCAATTAGATACAGCCATATATCCCATATCAATTCAATACCCACCGCCTTAAAAATAGTAATATGATAATAAATAATTAGAAGTTACTATTTGATGTTTTACAATAAATTCTAGGTATACTTACTCACTGAAATTTTAACGCATAATGCAGTAATGATAACATACAAATCATAAACAACGATTTGAAATCAAGATTTACTCACAAGCTTTTAATTTTATGCGTATATTGAAGTATTAGTAGCAATAATCATCAAATTTGAATTTAAGAAAATGAATAGATACTTACACCCTAATATATTTATTATTTTATTAGAGAAGAAAATTTATATCATATAATAATGGTAATTATTTGCAAATTATACTGTACTTACTCTCTAAAAATTTAAATTGTTATATTAACAGGATAAATCCATTGAAATGTCAAACGAAAAAACAATGTCAATCTATATACACTTACGCTCTAGTAATTGTACAATTATTAGGAAAATCATGAATCAAAGTGAAATGTGATTTTAAAATCGTTGTAGTGACTGAAGCTGGAAATTAGGGACCTCGATTTAAAAATATAAATACTACCAAAATCCACTTATACTCTTTTATTATAAAAGCTAACCCTAAATCCTAACTATCAAAAAAGCTAAAAAAATGCACCCAAAACTTTAAAAAATTTCAAATATTAAATAATTTAATATATCCAGCTTCAGCCACAACAATCTTTTAGATAAAATTTTTTACTTACACTCTGGTAATTTAAATAAACAATTAGTAAAAGTTATATCTAAGTTGATTCTAAAGACAAGTTTTTATGCGTACTTCCTGATAATTCATATCAAAATTTTGTCAGACATTGATTCGATAGAAGGATATAAATGAGCTTTTGTACTCACGAACTAGTACGTATTTAACAGACAATTGATTAGAGAAATCACATATAATTCTGTAATTTTCGTATGAAGCCCAAACGTTATACAGCGTAAATACTGGTTTGGATGTTGTACCATAAACAAATTTTAATCCAGTTTTAAAACGCTAAATGACGCGGTCTTTCACGCAGAAAATTACGATAATATTCATTTAAACTTACTAACTAGTAATTTGACAGTATGTAAGTAATAATAAAAAATAAATTTATATATTAGTAATGCTGTACAGTGTATATATATATGTCATATTTAGGGATGAAAATTGGGTTATATTACGTAATTAAAAACAGGTGATGATTATATTGACAAAGTGCTGCAAAAGGGGGGATTGACAAAGTTTTCTACATAAATCAATTTAGAACAAGATAAATTTCATTTTGACCTAAGACGCAAAAGTGTTGTATTAATAAAATTTTGTAGTATAGCTATTCAAATTTTGTATCTTCTGATTATTTATTACAAGATTATAACAAAAATTGATCTTTTTTTTGTTGATTCCACTCGTTTTTGCAGCATTCAGTCCATATGATCCGTATCAATGAGCCGGCTCAAATAGGCTTAGTCTACATTCCCATTGGCTCTTACAAGTCAAATAAACCAATGGAGTGTAGAATAAGCCTATTTGAACTGGCTCAATAGAGGACACTAATCTGTATATAGTTAAATTCAGATTTAATTGGTTGAGCCAAAATATTGAACCTTAATTATCACGTCGAATGATGTCGGTTTAAACATTGCTTATTAGTACCGACACGACGCGATAATTAAGGTTCAGGATTTGACCAAACCCAGATTTAACTATTCGGTGAAAATGTTTTTACCAACCCTATTCATACTCACGTGCTGATAATTTTTAACATGCATGTAAATTAATAAGTTGTATAATTCAATACAAAATTTAAAATATGAATAATACTTACATTCTGCATCCAAGAAAAAAGTAATCAACTCGACTATAAATATCGGTATTATTTAAGAAGATGGAAACAAATAGGCTTAATAAAATAATGGGAACGAAAGATAGTGCTGATATTGTCTTATCTGATGGCTTGAATGTAGGAAAAAATTTTGACTTAAGGTGAGCTATGATAGAACAATATAGGTGAGAAATAATAAATATAAAGATATAAACGCATGCTTCGTTTCTTATGGTTGTAAATAAATCATAAGCATATCCGTATTTAGTCACTAAAATATAAATAACGACAATGAAAAATAAATTAACTATATTCATTTTGATATGATTCTAAGTCTGAATCGTTTGAAATGAAAAAATTTTCGATCAACGAAAATTAGAGAAAAAAAAACGAATGAATTATCTAAATTTATTAGAAAAATAACTATATTATATGCAGAAAACAAAATGAAAAAAATGAATGTAACGCACTATTGCTATTAAATAACAATAATGACCAGTGAGGTCAGGAAAGGAAATGCTACTTTACACGAATATTAACAATGATAATTTGTGACTAATTTTTTTCACCAATAATATTGCATTTATAATAATTTTCCAGAATCTTGTTTATAGCTATAAATTTGCCCGCAGTGAAGCTACTGGAAATTAATTTGAAAGTCAATATAATAATTCAGCTCTAACCATTTCATATCAATATCGGTATGATTAATAACATGAATTTAAAATCCAAATTTATGAAACTAAACGCTGGCAAATTTAATTGGAACTTCCGTTATTTTATTAATAATCTAGCAATTATATATCCGCTAATTTATTATTAAAAAATGTTAGGGGAATGGTAATGTTTTTTATACGTAGAATAAATATCATCCCAACCTATAGATGGTGGTAGAATTACTTTTGAAAATTATCGAATTACGGCACATGCTGCATTTTTTGCCGTAATTGGCGTAATTATAAACCAAAATTAAGCATATCGACAGTATCTTCACATATCCAGTATCAGCAGTAATTTAGTTTTGCCTGCAACTCTAGTGCGTGCGAGCGTGCGGTATGTACGTACGTAAATTTTCAAACAAGGTGAAATTCTTGTCCAATCAAATTACATTCCAATAACTCCACCACCACCTATCCCAAATAATCCCAAGGCAAAATCCTAATACCATTCCAACGATCACTTGGTTTCTTGTGTGATAGCCTAACGCAACTCTCGACCAAACGACTGATAGAGCGGTTAATGAAACAATAGAACTTAATGTTAGTTTTATCAAAGTATTTATGGATGTTTGAGTAGTATATATGGATATAAATGAAAAAAATTCATGCAAAGATATCGTATGTAATTGTAATGATATAAACGTTGCAAAATAAATTATAACTGTCGAATGAGATGATGGCATTCCAAAAGATTTTTTTTGTTGCTTGGAATTGGTAGGACGTGGTTGACGGATTGTACGTTTCATAATTTCGGCTAATAAATAAAAATGATAATCAAATGTTTTTTTTAATTAATTGAAAAAATAATGACAAAGTTTTACCGATTATTTTCGTAATGAAACCCCCAGTGATCATATATACAACATGAAAACTTCGTGCATATAGAAGTACTAGTAATAGAAGAAGGCTTAGCCAACTTCGAGTCTTAAAAATTAAGTATTTTAATATAAACGATTATTAAAAAAAATATATAATAATAAAAAATAAAATTCGACTAAATTAATATAGCATACACGATCGAGAAATGCTAAAACAAACATAATTGTGCTTACGGTTTGATTAATGTTGAGTGTTTGCTAAAGACTATGTTACGTACGTACGTATGTTGTACGTACATCTAAATATGTATTATTTTAGGACAAAATTCTAAATAGGACTCGGAAAGAATTTTTTTTTTGTAGTACAGATGAAAAATAAGGAAGCTACTTATGGACTCGAACCCAGTGATCAGTGATCATCACATGAGTGCTGCAGAGTGAAAACCAGGAAGTGAATCTTTTAAGATCTCACTGTAGCAATTTAACCCCGGAAGCATTATGCCATTACGTAATTATCACATAGCACAATCAGTCTTCTAGGAGTTTCTAAATTATGTCACTTCAATATTTTATATACGCTACGTTCTTATCTATAACGAGTTATAATATCGATATTATATGAACGTTATTTAAATGTTTATTAATGAATTATCTTCGTAATTTTTAAAATTATAAAAACTATCATTACTATTAGTATATACCTTGATTAAAGCATCTAAATTTAAATCTAGAACTCGTTTTGATAATTAAATTCTGTTCACTGGTAGTGATACACTTATTAATTGCAGATTTACTAGTTTTATTTTTTTAAATTAAATATTTTACATTATAATTCAAAATTTTTTAAAAAAAAATCCAAAGACCCATATAACCAATATTAACTAGATGTTTCTCAATTAAATAGATTTTATAGTCCAAATGCTTTTTTGACTAGTCAAGATTTTTAACCAAATTAACTAGGCGCTTGAGTTGCTTAAAGGGAGTTAGAAATAATTGCAATATATCAATTGACTAGTGCATTAAGTATCAGAGTTATTTATATTAATGAGTCTTAAAAAAGTACAATTGCGTACTAAATTAAAACTCATTAATTATTATTATTATAACTATAATATATAAATTAGTAAAATATTATTAAATATAATTAACATTGTTTTGACAT